CCTAAATTGGTGAACACGCACTGTATATTATTACATAATATGCAGTTATTAAATATTACTGAACATCCGTATCATTGTAAAAAAATATTTTTAAAGTGTATAATTTTGGCCCAAGTTCGGCATTGTTATTGCACCGGTAAACGCACTTAATATTTTTATTCCTTAACGTCTAACGATTTTCATACGTTTTTATTTTCATGTCTTATCTGAATATTTCTATCGCAAATCCATATTCGTTAAAACATAACGACTGTGATTGGTATAAAATCAAAGCTCATAAAATATTGAAAGCTAATAAATTATACGCATATGGATAGGTACTATTAGTGAAGGTAAATGGTATAGTGTGTAATGTGTATACCTATAATGCGTTTGTAAAACATATATAAGATGCATAAATAAAAAATATATTTGTACAATATGTATTTGTATAATATCGTTTGATCGTGTAACGCAGGTAATAAATGACCTTAAAATTAATTGGCAAATTGATTGACGGATAAAAGGTTTTTGTCCATCAGTTCAATTTATAAGGATAACATTAAGAAAAAAAAGGTGGGCAAGTGGGTGTCGCTCTGCTGTACAGTAGGTTAAAAGTGGGTCACTGTATAATGGATGATATTCAATTTGAATTCAACCATATAATATCATTGTATAAGAAAAACGATTCTGAGCGGAGGCGGTATGTCAGTCTAGGTATAAGACATATTATATACATATCTATGGTACTAAACCAAAATTTGACCTATAATAGGTACCTATAATAAATTCCAAATTAATCATATCACAATATCCATAGGCCCCTCCCAAAAAATATCCATAGCCCCCCCCCCTCGTGTTCAAATTTAACACCATCCACTTCCAACCTAACCCAGTTACCCACCTTTTTTTTAGGTTTTTTTGTATAAAAATCATTTAAATTGTATCCGTTGGGTCAAAAAGCTTGAAAATTTATAGCGCTGGATAAATTACTTTTAAAAAGTAATGAAATTACGTACTCGTCACTTCAAATATTTTAATTTTTATTACATTTGCCTTACCTAAAATTATTTTTATCACGTTACATTACTTTTTCATTAATAAAGTAGTGCGTTCAAATAACGTTACTTTTTTTTATCATTTTTAACCATATTCAATTCACATGATTCAATAATTATTATGTATATTAAATTTTACAATCATAGATAAAGTGATAATAGACCTATTTTAGTATTATGTACAAATGGTACAATCATCTCACCTATAATTGCTATATAGTCATAAGTCATAAATCATGTCGCCGCCGACGACCCGAGCCTCTCTCTCTCTTCTCGCACGACGCTCGACCTACGCGCATCGCACGTAACGCGCTCCGTGTTTATCGACGCGAAATGATTAACGAGCGAATACCAGGGCCGGATTAAGCACGGAGCCTGGGAGCCCGGGCTCCAGGCCCTGAAATATTGAAGGCCCCGAAGGGGCCTTTTATTTCAGGCCAAGTTCAAAATAATTTAAGTTTAAATTTTATTTTGATATAATTTTCGTATTTTTACTATATGTATTGCCATTGATTATAAATATTAGTATTTATAATCAATGGTATTACGCAGTGTGCTAAAAGTATTGATGGGAGAACTGTAGCCTTGAAGAGTTTGAGTGAAACACGATGGTCAGCTAGAGCACACTCTACTAAAGTACTTTGTGAGAATTATGATACCATACTTAATCGTTTAAAATATTTAAGTGAAAATACGGAAATAAAAAAAGATGCACGAAACGAAGCACAAAATATAATTAACAAAATTACATCACTTGATATTGCTTTCATGACAGTACTATGGAACAGAATTTTAGAAAGATTTGACAAAACTAGTGTTAAATTACAAGAGAAGTCACTTGATTTATCAGTCGCTGTTAAGCTTTTAAAATCTTTACGGGCGTATATTGGTTCAATAAGAAACAATTTCAATGATATAGAAAAAGTGGCATTATCTCTTTCTAAAGTTATTTCTAAAAAGTATAATACTGAAAAAAAAGAAAAATAATTCGTAAATTAACTCCAGATGAAATGATTCGAAATGAAGAAGAGACCACTTTTTCTGGGCAGGAGAAGTTTAGAGTTGAAACATTTATAGTTATAATGGACAAATTAGATATATGCCTGCTAAAAAGACTTGAACAATATAACGATTTAGATAGAAAGTTTGGGTTTCTTACTTATTTTAAATCTATGACTGAGGAAGAAATTGTGGATATAACAAAAAATCTTGGTAAAATATATCCGGACGACCTTGATTGTGACATTTTTCCCGAAGAAATGATACATTTTACCAAATTAGTTGATGAGCAAGATGAAGAAGGAAAAATTAAAATGCCATCAGCACTAAAATGTCTTCAAATTATACACGATAATAAACTCAAATCAGTGTTTCCTAATGTGGAAGTAGCATATAGATTGTATTTATGTCTTCCAGTTGCCAACTGCAGCGCAGAAAGAGCATTTTCAAAATTGAAAAGACTGAAGAACGAATTGAGGTCTACCATGAAAAATCCACGCTTGAACGCTTTATCATTAATGACCATTGAGAGATCTCTACTTAAAGAAATAAATACAGATGAAATAATTGTGGAGTTTCAAAAAAAGAAAAGAAAATAAGGTACCTAATAAAGTTAATTTTAAAATATTTTATTTTTATTTTGACATTTAAACAATAATGTTGTATATTTGTATGTAACGAAAATTAACTAATATTTAAAGATTAAAAAATATATATCTGTACCTACAATCAATTAATTTGTATCATTTTTTTAAATAAATAAAATTCAGTTATTGGTAATTAATAATGTATGAATTAAGGGCCCTTTGGACTACTGGGCTCCAGGCCCGGTAAACTCTTAATCCGGTCCTGGCGAATACGACCGTTTTCTTTAATTATTTAACTACCCGCTCTACGTATGAGCGGCAGTATTATATGTGTTTTATATTTGTACCTTTTTATACATATTAAATTATTTAGCGACGCAAACGCGTCCGACAACAATTACACTTTTTAGTTTGTTCCGTGTACGCGGACTTGGTAACCTTTCCTTCTGACCAAGAGTCAAGACGTTTTGGGTAAGCGCGTGACACGGTGAACTGGTTGTGGTAGAGGAAGATGGTTACACTCAATAACAACACGGTGTTTATAGTTGATGTACACTTTATTATATTTAACACAATTCAACAGACGTACATAATGTAGCGCGTTAGGAACAAGACAGTCGGCCCGGCCGGCGGCGAGGTCGGGTGTCGTTGCCGACGTCCGAGTCCCCTCCACCTGCCGTCCGACTGTAGCGCGTCGTGCGGGTGACACGACAGACGTAGCGGCCGGTATTTCGGCGTCGCCGAAATACCGACCGCGACATTCTCCCCCGCCAACCCGCACGACGCCGTCTACCTACTCAAAGGCCGTCGTCGTCGCTGTCCGGCAGTCTCGACAGCATGTCCACATCCGGGAGCTCCTGTGGGCCTACCCGGAGTTGGAGGAACTCCTCCTCGTCGGTGTCCAAGTTGATTAAATCGGCTACCTTTGGGTCGTCACGCGGCGTTCCGCCCTGCTTGAGGTCGGCCTTCGTCCGCACTGTCCGGGTGTTCCTGGGGGGGATGGTCGACGTTTCCTTCGCCAGTCGTCGGGGTCCTGCCTGTGCTGCTGGTGAGGGTCTCACCACTCCCCGGTCCAGAGCGATCTGGATCAGTGGATGTTGTAGCAGGTCTTAATGGGTTGCCCCTACGGCCCACCTGGCCAGCGCCCGTCCGTCGTCAGGTCTCACCTCTGGACTCATCTCGGTTGGGGTCTCCCTTGTCGGCGTGGCCGCCGATGGCGTTTGGGTACCCCTTTCCGCCCTTGGTTGGTTCTTCCCGTACCGTCGCCACACGGCCATCAGGTTTTCCCATGTAGGTATGCCCGATGATCGCCCAGCGAGCCGGCGCGCATTCAACAGGTTTAGGGACGCCTGGTCCAGGATCAACTGTACCACATCAGATACGGTCAACCTGTGGGGATGGTAGTCGCCCACCGACAGATTAAAATCTCCGTTGCTGTTGGAAGGCGTCGTTGTCGGCTGGTTACGTGAGGACATCTTGGTTTTCCTGCTATAAATACACAACATGTTATATGGAAAACGTATTGGTTATGGTGGGTAATTCCCCGATTGTCAACATCGTTGGTTTTCCCATCTCGTGTGTGTTGTTTGTATGTCGGTTTTCCCCCGTAGTGTTCGTTAGGGGGAAAAAACCCGGAATGTTTTCGACGTGGTTTTCCCCGAGTCGGTAAAACCCCAGGACTAGTTCTGGGTTTGGCCCGGCCCGCATGTCTGTGTGCTCGGGCGTGTCGTGCTGATGATAAGCTAGGTGTGACCTGTCACCGTGTTGCCGGTCGCGCCACTCTCCCCCGCCAATCAGCACGGTGTGTTCGGTTGTTTTCCTCTTGAATCTTCTGTCATTCTCGGAGTTGGATTTCCCGGTTGGTGTTGTGTTGAGAGTGGAAGAAACCCGTATGGTGGGTTTTGGAAAGTCCCGGAAGTGTTCGGTATTGGGTATTTCCCGAACTGGTTTTTTGGTTTAGGACTAGTTTTGTATTTTTTCCGGCCTGCATTTCTGCTTCCGTATACTGTCCGTATTAATTCCGTTGCTTGTTATGATTGATTTTACTGACATGTGTGTTTGGACCTGGGGTTATCTTCCGGCATTGCCGTACTTTACCACTTATTGGTCCGTCCGCTCCTTAGCCTCGTATCTTGGTCTTTCACTTGCCCTTTAGGATGTTGGTGTTTTCTTCCCTTGACTTCTTGACTTGGTTCAGGTTCTCTACTTCCAACGGGGTCGGTGACGGTATGACTTTTGTCGTCATTGGTTATTGTCATTCGACTCCGCTGTTGGTTGAGGTTGTGCCCTCCATTGGATCTGCTGGTGTGACGTCATTGTCAATTTAACCGTCCTTAACGACTCCAACGTCGGTAACACATGGTGCCTGTCTACTCCCCTATTTACCATAGTATTGGCGGGGCAGTGACACCGGTTGGGGTACCCTATTGAACCTTTGTTCACGTGCGTGGAGGAAGGTACCTCTAAACTTTGCGAGCTTGGTGTTCAGGACGCGTCTGATTGCCGTTGGCTTCGCTGCGCCTCCACCTTGTATAGACCGTCGGCCGTAGTATTTTGGACTTGTTCGCTGTCCATTGGCTTTGATACTCTTGCCTTGGTATTGATTTTTGGCATCTACTGTTCGGGAGGGATTTTCCCGACATTCGTGATGTGTTGGTATTGGGAAAAACCTGTATGTTGGGTTTTGGGAAAACCCGGAGTTGCTCGGAACTGGGTATTTCCCGAACTGAGTTTTTTGGTTTTCCCGTTTTGCTGGTAAAGTCCAAGTTTTCCTGTGAGATGTTGGTTTCCCCTCTCTCTTTGTACTGCTGATACTCTGTTGACCTTTTCCTGACGCTTTGGTGGGTGGTGGCTGTGTTGTACTTCCCTGCCACTTTTGTTCGATCCGGGAGTCCCGTCCGCTTTTGGTCGGTGTGAGGACCCTTTCGTGATCTCCACGTTGCATTCCACCTGCGGGTGTATGGACCTGGGGTTTTCTTCCGGTGTTGCCGTACTTAGCCCCTTATGGGTCCGTCCACTACTTTGCCTCGTGTTACAGTCTTTTACTTGCTCTTTAGAATTTTGGCGTTGCCTTCCCTCGCTTCGTGACTTGGTTCAGGTTCCCTACTTCCAACGGGGTCGGTGACGGTATGACTTTTAGTCGTCATTGGTTATTCTCATTCGACTCCGCTGTTGGTTGATTTTGCGCCCTCCATTGGATCTGCTGGTGTGACGTCATTGTCAATTTAACCAGACTCACTGACTCATAATGTCGGTTACGCTTGTGCCCTCGATTGGGTCGGCCAGCGTGACGTGATTGTCAGTTTAACCGGCCTTAACGACTCCAACGTCGGTAACACATGGTGCCTGCCTACTCCCCTATTTACCATAGCATTGGTGTGGCAGTTTCACCGGTTGGGATACCCGATTGACCCTTCGTCCACGTGCGCCGGGGGGATAAACCTCTAGATTCTTTCTCGGTGTTCCGGGCGCGTCTCGTTGCCGTTGGCTTCGAGTCGTACCTACCTTGTATAGACTGTTGAGTTGTAGTACTTTGGTCTTGTCAATTTTCAGCTGCAGTACGGTTGTCGTTGTTGTTCCTTGACTTTAATCGCATTGCTTCGGCGTTGATTCACTGTTCGGGAGGGGTTTTCCCGAGGTTTGTGATGTGCCGATTGTTGTTGGTCTTGTTCCCTGTTGTGTGGGTTTTGCCCGTATGTTTCGTCGCTGTGTTTTTCCCGACATCGTTATACGGGTGTTCGGTCCGGTCGTCGACTGTCCCGTCCCGGCCGATGCGAAACCTGTTGTCGCGATTAACTATACGGGTATTCCCAGCGTTCACGGAAAGTGCCCTACGTGTTTTCCAAACGGCCCATGGGTTTCTCCCTGTATCGTTTCTCACGTGGTTTTGGGGCTTCCCGAGATCACCGAAATGCGCTATACCATGTTTTGTTGAGGCTACCCGTTGGTGGTTGATGCCCCTTTGTACGCTAGCGTTGTTTATAGTTGATGTACACTTTATTATATTTAACACAATTCAACAGACGTACATAATGTAGCGCGTTAAGAACAAGACAGTCGGCCCGGCCGGCGGCGAGGTCGGGTGTCGTTGCCGACGTCCGAGTCCCCTCCACCTGCCGTCCGACTGTAGCGCGTCGTGCGGGTGACACGAAAGACGTAGCGGCCGGTATTTCGGCGACGCCGAAATACCGACCGCGACACGCGGATATTGAATAACCCGCCGATCGCGCGGTGTTTCGCACTTACCAAATTGGTGACCTCAGCATTTCGAACGACGAAGTCTCGCGGCCAATCAACCGTTTACCGCCGTTTACCGTCGTTTACCGCCGCGAAAGTCCGCCGTGAGTGCGTACGAACACGTGTTCGCCCGTTTGTATCCGTTCGCATCCGACTTCGCGCAACTAGAAATCGACTATGACTAACGACACACCGGTCACGTCCACCGCCACAACGTGCACGACGTTAACCGCCGCGGGCTCGATAAGTGCAAATTCCGCACCAGCAACCACGGTTAACACCACACCATCCATCACCGCTCCCATCACCATGAAAGCTGAGGTGGAAGCGGTCTCACACATCCGACTTCCTGGTTTTTGGCGTCAAGCTCCACGAAATTGGTTCGCACACGCAGACTCGATGTTCGCGAATAAACGCATAAAGTCCGACCTCACGCGGGTCAACCATGTGGTGGAAGCTATGGATGCAGACGGCGTCAATACTATCGCCGACCTACTAGGGGATAACGCGTCATACGACGATATTCGACAACGATTGATCAATACGTACACCGTCCCACAGGCAATTCGCCTCCAAAACATTGTACAGTTGGGCGGCATGGGCGACCGTACTCCATCAAGGCTACTGCGGGACCTGCGGGACGCCTGCCCTTCCGACATGGGAAACACAGCCCTAGAACAGTTCTGGAGACAGAAACTCCCGTCAGCAGTCCGTACCGTAATCGCAGGGACAACAGGACCGCTTGAAGTTCTCGCGGAGCGAGCGGATCGAATCATGGAAGCTAGCGCCGGTACAGAATTCACAGTATGCACCATGACGGCAGATCGAGTTTCCGCGCCCGCCGAACCTACAGCCGAACCAACCCCCCCCCCCCCCCCGACCGCACACGAAATCGCATTTACGGGAACACGGTCATCGAACGAGACACGTTTCAAGGCGTTAGAAAACGCACTCCTTGCGTTAACAAACCAAGTCGCCACGCTCGCGACAACACAAGCTGCCAAATTCCAGGGCGCGGCCCGAGAACGCCCGTCGCGAGAACAAAAATCACGGTCTGACAGTGCGACAGCGAGTTGGTGCTACTATCACGAGCATTATGGCGCTGACGCGCGCGAAATGCCGCGAACCGTGCACCTACGAACTAAAGCAGAGAAAATGACAGTGCGGCGGTGCCCCGACGACACCTCGCCGCACTCAACGCACACGACGCCCACCGGTTGTTTGTAAACGATACACGCACCGGCCGCAAATTCCTCATTGACTCCGGCGCGGAACTTTCGGTGATTCCGCGACGACAAAACTTAACGAGCTACACCACTAGCGAAATTAACCTGATCGCTGCCAACGGCACACAAATCAAAACCTATGGTCCCGAACAGCAACAGCTAGACCTAGGCTTCAAACGCCTTTTCACATGGACTTTTGAAATGGCCAACGTCACCCGACCAATTATTGGGGCCGACTTTTTACACTATTACGGCTTACTCATTAGACGTCACAGCCGCCTTGTCGACCTCGCGGAAAAAGTTTCAGTGAGAGCAACACCCGCTCGCGACGCACCACTTACCGCGATTTGCACCGTCGCACGACCATCGAAGTGGACCTCATTACTACTCGATTATCCCGAGGTCACTCGAGAGTCACCCGTACCGAGTAAGTTCCTGCACGACGTAGTGCACGAGTTACACACGGTGGGACCACCATTATTCGCGCGACCGCGACGATTGCCGCCCGACCGCCTGAAAATTGCTCGAAAAGAATTCGAGTTCATGCGACAGAGAGGCATCTGCCGACCGTCATCGAGCTCGTGGGCCAGCCCAATATTACTGGTGCCCAAAACGGACGGCACGTTCAGACCGTGCGGAGACTACCGACGACTTAACGCGGTCACGACGGCTGACCGTTACCCACTACCACACCTTCACGATTTCACGACCAACCTAGCGGGCAAGACGATTTTCACCAAGCTCGACCTCGTCCGGGCATATCACCAAGTTCAAATCGCGGCGAAGGACATACACAAGACCGCGGTCACAACACCGTTCGGATTGTTTGAGTTCCCGGTCATGTGTTTTGGTCTGCGCAACGCCGCGCAAACCTTCCAGCGAGTTATCAACGACATACTGCGCGGCCTCGACTTCGTGTTCGCATACATCAACGACGTGTTGATCGCCTCGCGTAACGAAGACGAACATTTTAGACACGTACGCACAGTGCTCGAGCTGTTTCAAAAGTTTGGAATAGCGATCAACCCGGTGAAGTGCGTTTTCGCGTCAGATTCTATGTGTTTTCTCGGGCATGTTGTAGATAAAGACGGGTGCCGACCGAACGCCGACCGCGTCGCCGCCATACGTGAATGGATGCTTACGAACACAAAGAAAGAGCTGCAACGATTCTTAGGCTCAATCAATTTCTATCATCGTTTCATGCCGAACGCCGCCGAAAACCAAGCACCACTGTACGAGCTCACGGCCGCGATCAAAAAACGAGACGGCCCGTTTCAATGGACGGAACACGCTCGCGCCGTTTTTAAGACATGCCGACAAGCCCTCGCAGACGCAGCGCAGCTTGCGCACCCGAGCCAGGACGCCCCGCTACGGCTCAACACAGACGCGTCGAATATCGCCGTGGGCGCAGTGCTGGAACAAAACGTGAACGACCGTTGGCAACCACTCGGGTTCTTTTCAAGGAAACTGTCACCCGCAGAACAGAAATACAGCACCTACGATCGTGAGTTACTCGCCGCTTTCGCAGCGATACGACATTTCATTCACATAATCGAAGGACGACGCACTACATTGCGCACGGACCACAAGCCACTGATCTACATGTTCACACTCAAAACCGAAAAAACCATCGACCGACAGGTTAGACAGATTTCGTACTTGTCGCAGTACCTACACGGGGTTGAGCACGTCCAAGGCAAGGACAACGTCGTTCCCGACGCGCTGTCAAGGCTTGAAATCGACGAAATAATCGAGCTCCCTACCGAGCAGCAGTGGGCGGCCGATCAAGCAGACGACCCGCAGTTGCAGCAGTACATCGCTGACAATTCGATTTTTTCTCTCCGACTACAGCCACGCGACACAGTCAGCGGAGCTATTTACGCGGATTATTCTACCGGACAAGCACGTATGTACGTACCAGCAATACACCGACGGCGAATTTTCAACGCACTCCACGGCCAGGCACACGGCAGACGTGACGCCACACGCCGATTAATCAGCTCGAGATATTGCTGGCCAGGTATGAGACGGGAAATCGCACAGTGGACCCAGTGCTGCGAGCCGTGCCAACGTGCAAATGTACACAAACATACAACGTCTGCGGTAGCACCGTTTGCGCCCCCCGAGCGACGTTTCGGGCACATCCACCTCGATTTAGTCGGGCCACTGCCCCCATCCGGCGGGTGTAAATACCTGCTTACCGTCGTCGACCGTTTCACACGCTGGCCAGAAGCGTGGCCTATCGATAACATGTCGGCTTACGCGGTCGCGCAGCTCTTGACAACAAATTGGATAGCGCGTTTTGGTGTGCCCGACATCATTACCACCGACCAAGGCAGACAGTTCGAGTCCGAGTTATTCAAAACGCTCTTAGCTACTTTCGGTATTCAGCACATCAGGACCTCCCCTTATCACCCACAAGCGAACGGGATGGTGGAACGACTCCATCGTACGCTCAAATCCGCACTCACCGCGCACGAAT